AAATAAAAAAAAAAAAAAAAAAAAAAAAAGTTCAATATTGAAAAAAATGAAAAGAAAAAAAACACCTGAATAGGCTCTGTTGTTTTCAAATAATTTTATAAAACAGATTACAGCAATTCAGAGTCCAATCTCCAATCTATCTATAAAAAATAAAGACACCTTTTACTAACTATATGTAAGTCTCTGTTCTTACCATTCATGATCCATTAAGGCATTAAAAATGGGTGTTTGTTTTTGTTAAATGTCAAGTTAACATTTCCTTAAGTTCAAAAAAACAACTATTCACCAGATAGCAACTGGGATATTAGCAAAAACAAGCAAACTCTCTTTCTCCTTTCTCCCCAACTAAATTTGTCAGTGAATTATCTGTTGAAAAGACCCAAAAAGATTAAAAATGTTTCATCAGATAGGAATAGAACAGACAACTTTAAAACCATGGTAGAGATGGGAGAACAAGGGTGGGACCCAGTGACACCAAGATATTGAGAATGGATAAAGGACTACTCTGTGGTCTGGGATCACTGCTGAGAATGCATGTGGCAGGAATAAAGAGAGAACTTGGGGACACACTTCAAGGAAGACTGCTTGCAGTTTTAGTGATTCAAGAATTTGTAGTGACCCAATTTTGTAGTCAGAACAGAAAAAAGAGCCTAAGTTTGGTATCATTTGGGTACCATCTGGAAGCTACTGGATACAAAACCTTACAGATGTCATTATTATTTTTTGATACTTAGAAACTTTTAGGCTCCATTCCCCAACCTGATCATCCTAATTATGTACTTTAATGCTACATAATCACACAAAAAAAGGAAATAAATGAAAAATGAAATGACAGGGATGGGACAGAGTCTCTTCAAATTTTTAACTAACTGCTTTCCAAAATTTCCTAGTTTTCTACTCATACTTGTCAAACTATCAGAGGCAAACCTTTGAAAGGATGAGAGTAGCAGAGGCAATTTTCAAAACTGCCTCATAAAAGGAAATGTCCAATATAATCTGTACAATACCTAATTTTAAAAAATACACACACACACACACACACACACACACACACACACACTAAATTAGCACTTTCTCCCTAGCCCTTGTTAAGCCCAAAGTATTTGAAGACCATAATTAGAGCTTAAAAATGTGTGGCACCACTCTCAGACCATATTTCAGTTCATGCAGTTTATATTTTGCAAAGGGCTTTCTAAAACCTACTCTCACTCTGTTCCTATTCGGACAAATGGCCAAAGAATTCAAAGGCAGGAAAAGTCTTCTGGCTTATTCGACACAACGTGGGAGGAAGGAGACAACTAGTTCCAAAGTACCACTCTAACAAAACTTCTTAAAGTGTCAAAAGCCACATATATATAAAGGCCATATCCTTTTAAGCAATAAGTTGTTTTAAATGCCATGACAGGGATTTGGAAGACAACTGTTCCTAAGATAGATATAGATACATAAAATAGATAAACAAGTGGGAAAAGCACATCTAAATCTCGTTCCCAAATAAAGGGCTACTGCTTTAAAAACAGGCCGAACTGAGTAAACAAACATGGAATGAAATTACCAAAGTAGTCAAATGCTTGTGCAGAATCCCACCCTACCTCAAAAACTGCAATTGGAACGCAGGTAATAGAAGAGAGACTCCCACACCTCCAATCGCTCTGGGATGCCCTAGAGGACCCCGAGTCCAGGCACGCCCCGGAGGAGAAGCAAGCCGTCCAAATCACACATAGGAAGCTAGTGGTCAGCAAGTCAGAAGAGGGCCAAGCGGTGAGTCCAAGGGGTGGGAGGTTGGGAGGCAGGAAGGTAACTTCTCATTTGGACCTGGGACACGGGAGTCAGCCCTTCTAAGGCAAAAACTGCCAAACAGCAACTACTGGTGACGGGGCTCCCTCCGAGTTCGAGGGCCGCAAAAGGACCACAAATGTGTGAAAAACCATGTTTAGAAGGATTCCCCACCACCCCCACCAGGCCCCGAGGGCTGGGGCGACCACGGCTAAGAACACCACGCCCACGCTGTTGCCGACCCAACAGAAACAGAGAGAGGAGAGGCGGAAACTGTAGCCCTGGAGGCCGCCCGACCCTCACCGCCTGGGATGGGGGAGACAGGCCCTGAAAAACGAGGCCCCACCACCCACGTCGCTCCCGCCGGCCACCGCGGCCCCCTGGCGCCCTTTGCCGCCCAGCCGCATCCTAGAGTGCTGATCCCCTCTGTCTTTGGCCCTGGACCCCAACCCTCTCAACCCACGCCTCCCCCTCACCGGCTGCCACAGCCACCTCCAACGGGCGCCGCTTTTTGGGCCGAGTCTCCCCGCCGGGGTTTCCCTCTCTGACCTCATTTCCGGTCTGGGCCGGAGGGGTGGGGCATTGGCGGAGTGGGAGGGGCTTGTTGCTAAAGGGCCCGCCCAGGACCAGCGCTTCCGTCCCGCGGCCTCCCCACTTCCGCCCCTCGGTGGGCGGGGCCACGGGGAAGCTGGGAAGTGGGGCAGGGAGCAAAGAAGCGAGCAAGTAGGGTTAGCTGGATGGCCAGGTGAGGCAGAGCGGGGCGTTGCGGGGCCTTGGGGAAGACCCTGAGAGCTGGCCTGGTCTCTGTTGGGGACGGCAGCAAGTTGGACGCTGAGGGTTTGTGAGGTTGGGAAGAAATGGATCTTTGTTCTTAACAATTGTTAATATGACCTTTGAGAGGGGGCGATTTTGCATTGAATTATTTGTCTTTGGCTGAGGTTGTGGCTCAGTGGTAGCGCGCTTGCCTAGCATGTGCGAGGCACTGGGTTCGATTCTCAGCACCACATAAAAAAAGTAAACAAAGATATTGTGTCCATCTACAGCTTTAAAAAGTTTATAAAATAATACATGTCTTGAGCTATAAAACAAATGTTGAATTATAGCAAAGTATAAAGAAATAGTCTTCCTTCCATACAGACTTAAGTACGTGAAAAAATAAATTGAGGAAGAGAAATCTCCCAAGTAATTTATGTAGCTACCCCACGCTGAAGCATAACTCCCAACTCCTTAAGTGTGAGCTGTGCATAGTGCATAGTGACTTCCTTCCGAAGAGGACAGTGTGAAAATGCAGCAAAAATGAGTAACTTTACAGTGGAGAAACCTGACAGACACTGTCACTCTGGTGACCAAGGTTAATGTCAACAGTGCTAAATCATATTGATAGTGTAGGAACTATGATGAGATTGGCACTTTATGGGACTTACTTTCTATAACCCATAACCCTAACCTAATCACAAGCAGGAAAAAAAAAAAAATCAAACCCCAGCAGAGAGACAGCTTACAGAATGCCTGACCAGCATTTCTTGATATTGTTAAGATCTTCAAAGACAAGAAAAGTCTCAGAAATTGTCACAGCCAAGAGGAGCCTGAGGAGACGTGACAAGTAATTAATTCTACTTTCGATGTGCTGAATTTGCGACTCCCACAGGACAGAAATATGGAAATATTCAACAGGTGTCCACAGCCAGCAACCCTCTTTTTTGCTTAAGTGAATATTCTCTCCCACAAATGACCTCAGATCCAGTGATGTCAGTTGCCTCCTTGAGGACTGAAGGTTCCCAAATTTCTTGAAATCCAGCTTTGATTTTCTGGTCTCAGCAAGATGCCTCCATTGTATGTGCTCCTCAGCGTCTCTGAAATTTATCAACATAAATCTCAGTTTCTACCATAGTTCCTATCAAATCTGCCCCTTCTCCTCTGTTTCCTGTTTGAGAAACTTCACCACCACTATGCAATAAGAAAACTCAAAACCATTTTTTAAATCAATTTATTTGTTCTAATTTGTTATACATGACAGTTGAAGGTATTTTGGTTCACAGTCAAAACCATTTTTAAATCTGTTTGTTTTCAAAAAAGCCATTCTCTACAATAAGCACCCAGTGAGCTTTCTAAACACCGTCTTGATCATGTCCCTTCAACCTTCTTGAATCATGCTTCAGCACGCCATACCACTTGCTGCTTCTTGAACATCCTTGGGATTTGAGGTGATTTAAAGGCTCAGAGCTAATATCACTTCCCTGAAGATTTCCCACTCCTTTGGCAAGCAATCTTCCCCCACCTCCATGGGCCAGAATCTTTATACAGCACTTTCTTCAATCAACTTTGAATTAGAGGCAACTACATGCAAGTTTGCCTCCCTAATAAAATCACTCATCCAGCAAATATTTACTGAGCACCTACAAATACCTGGCCCAGTGCTGAACTCTACAGCAAAGCTTCCTCCATTGTACCAGAGGCCCAGCTGTACTATCACCTTCTCACCAGTGCCTGGCACAGTTCTTTGCATGTGGCAAGTGCTCAATAGATTAAAAACCAAGCCAGGCGTGGTGGCACTTGCCTGTTATCCCAGTGGCTGGAGAGGCTGAGGCAGGAGGATTGCAAGTTCAAAGTCAGCCTCAATAACTTAGTGAGAACCTAAGCAACTCAGCAAGACCTTGTCTCTATATAAAATACAAAAAAAAAGGTGTGGGGGGGGGCGTGCTGGGGATGTGGCTCAGTGGTTAAGCACCCTTGGGTTCAATCCCCAATACTCACCCACCCCCCCAAAAAAAATCTAAATGCTGGATCAGGAAATTAAAAGCACTTGTCTCAATCCTAAGAGAAAATTTTAATGAAAGCTCCACCTTCGTGGGATATGGAAGCCATGGGCGGAGCTACATAAGAGGATGGAAACAGAGGAAATCTTCAGGGGATTAACTGAATGGCTCAGAAGGAAGAGGGAAGTTGAAGATAACCATGGGATAAAAGCCAGAGGAGGGAGAGTTTAAAGAAAAAGAAGACCCAAAGAACCAATGGGAATAAATAGTTCAAAGAAAAGGCCACACACTTGGCAATTGAGGAGGTCACTAATGGCGATGAGTTTGAGCTGACTGCAAGCAGGGAGGAGGGAGGGGAGAACTGACCAGCTGTGTCTAGAACTGGCTGCATCGCTTCCGGGCCTTCACTGCCTCGTCAATCATATGGGGACAATCGGTACACACATATCTCTTGGTTGGGGATAAAATAATAACTGTAAATAATGTAGGAGAGAATCTGACACAAATGAACTGCCCCCAAATTAATAACAGTTACTGAGAAAAGCAGAAGATTGGAGTAGATGAGGCAATCAGTGGAATGTGGAAAAACCCAGCTGAAAAAAAAAAAATCTGCACGTGGGAGGAAATAATAGCGCTCTCTCTCTTCTATCCTCCCCATCATAAAATATTTTTAAATTAGTTAATAAGAAATACAAATTTTCTGTTGATTAGATTCCCTGCACTTGTAACAAACCTAAAGTCCTCTCTATGATCTCAACAACAAAATGTCTGCCCCCTATCTGCCTCTCATCTTGATTCTCTCCCCATGTTCGCAGTATCAGCCCACCAAGATCTCTTTTTCCAACTTCCTCAGGGCCTTGACATATGCCCTGCACCTCAGAGCATCCTTGAGATCTTGTCTAAAAGGTCACCTTCACAGAGAGACCTTTCCTAATATGATCTCAAGTACTTTCCATCCTATCACCTTGTATCTTAATCCATCCTGTGCTGCTATAACAAAATGCCACAGACTAGTTAATGTACAAAGAAGAGAAGTTCTTTCTTCACAGTTTTAAAGGCTGGGAAACTCAAGATGAAGTCTCTGGAAGATTGGGTTGTCTTATAAGGCCTACTTGCTGCTTCTAAGATAGCTCCTTGTTGCTGCATCTTCCAGAAAGGGATCAGAGTGTGTCTCCACGTGGCAGAAGGTGGACTGATGAGTGAGCCAAAAGCTCTGAGTTATAGAAAACCACTCTTCTATGGATTTAATCCCATTCATAAGGGGCATCCTCATGACCTAATCACTTCTTAAATTCTCCACTTCCTAAAACCATCACAGTGGCCCTGAAGTTTCAATGCTGGATTTTGAAGGAGACCACCTTCTGTATGGCACATATCACAATCCAGCACTGCCTTGACGGTTCTTCCACGTTTGGACCCATTGCCTCCCATTGTGATGGAATTTCTTAGTTATAGGGACATTGCTATCCCTACAAAGACCTTCGATGGCCGAGCAGGGTGACACATGCCTATAATCCCAGCAGCTCAGGAGGCTGAGGCAGGAGGATCATTGAGTTCAAAGCCAGCCTCTGCAACTCAGGCCCTAAGCAACTCAGCGAGTCCCTGTGTCTAAATAAAATATTTTTAAAAGGCTGGGGTTGTGGCTCAGTGGTTGAGTGCCCCAGGGTTCAATCCCTGGTACCAAAAAAGAAAGAAAGAACTTTGATCCCTCTGGCACCTGGAAGAGTGCCTGTCACATAGCAGGTGCTCAATAAACATTTGATGAATGAATTCCTTATCCATCTCCACAGTTTTGTTGTTTTCGTTTTCCGCATTCCCAGGCTCAGCTTTTCTCTAAACGAATCCAAGACATCCTGAAATATTCCCAGAAATTCTTTTCAGCAGCCACTGAAGAGATATTTCTAATAGAAGCAGCATCCATCCATCAGGGAGGGCAGGAATGTTTTTTAGCATTTATTTGGAAAAAGAGTGACTCTCAGCAGTGAGCCCTCCTCCCTTGACCTGTACTCTTGGCACCCCCTCTTTGGCTTTATAGGAGACATCCACAGGAGCAGAGATTAGGGTGGGGGTGTGGAGCACTCATTGACAGACTTGGTAGCGGAAGCAGAGTTCCTCCCTGTGGAGCACATTGTGGGAGGGGCTGTGCTGTGGTCCAGAGCCTGTCAAGGGGCAGGTGGCAGCTGGCAGGTCCGACACACCCCTGGGCCCCACATCTCCCCTCACCCTCTTCCCCTCTTGTTGAATTTTGTTGAAGTAGCATTTATTAAAGGCTTGCCATAGGCCAGGCAGCATGCCAAAGACCGTGATGGCGGGAGCTGCTCTGGAACCAAGCGCCCTTGAGTCCTGAAGCACCGGGTCCTGACCCATCACTACATTTTCTGTAGTGACTTGGGCATTGTCCCAGCTGGGATAGCAAGACGTGTCTTCAGGTGTCCGCTACCTGCTGGGGTTGAGTTACACGCATCTTTTCCTTTGTAATCCTACCCCTTGCCTCATTTGAATGGTTTGTCCCCAATAAAAGGGTTCATTCCACCTAAAGTCAGAGGAGCCATCACAAGACCGAGTTGACCTGGAGTGACCTTAAGTGTTCAGTCATGGGACGCGACACTTTAACATTTTTCTTTCCTTCCTCCCACGGTAACTAGGGGTAGAATCCAGGGCCTGATGCATGCTCTACCACTGAACTACATCCTCAGCCCTTTTTAAAGGTTCTATTTTGAGACAGGGTCCTAACAAATCGCCCAGGCCAGCCTGACACTGGCGAACTTCCTGCCTCAGTCTCCCCAGGAGCTGGGATTGCAGGGATGCCTCTCCAC